GGGAGACCCAAAGAGAGAGAGATGAAGTGAGAAACCTCAGGGAGACCCACAGAGAGAGAGATGAAGAAGGACTGAGGCTGTGGAGGTTCCAGGATCTTTCTAGAGACAGAGGGTTTCTCTGCTTATGATGCTGCTCATGAAGGATTTAAAGCAAAGAGGTCAAAGTTGAGGCCTGGGAGCCAGATCCGGCCCGTAAATGAAGGACCTCGGCCCCCGGGAGGATATTTGGTTAGTGTTAGAAGCGGCCACACAAATACATACAAGAAAATATTATTAAAATTATAGAAAATATAATTATTATTTATTTAATGTTCAAGTATTTTCTCTTTTTTGAGGTTTTGTGGTTTTTTTGAGTCTGTTGGAAAATATTTTTTACTTGAAATGACAGAACCACAAAAATATTGAACTACTCATTTAATCATTAAATAACCCACTGTGTTAGGTCTTGGTTGAACAGGTTTTTATGCATCATTTTAATAAGTTTTAATAAACATTGAACCAATCCAGGCCTCGGCTTGAAGCTAATTTGTTTTTTGAGCCTCTGATGTATTTGACTCTGACTTCCCTGAGTTTAAGCTTGAGTCACATTATTATTATTCATGATATGTTTACTTGTTAGGGACAGAACATTGTTACAGGTAACCGAGGCCATGTTCATAGCTGTATCGCTAACAGCTAATTCTCAGACCTGATTACAGTGATACAGCAAAACCACTACATTTAGAAGAACTCAAGCAAAAATCTGACCTGCACCAGGACAATGGAGATTTAAGTCATAATAATAAGGCGGCACGGTGGCTGAGTGGATAGCACTCTCGCCTCTCAGCAAGAAGGTCCTGGGTTCGAATCCCGGTCGGACCAGGGCCTTTCTGAGTGGAGTTTGCATGTTCTCCCCGTGTCTGCGTAGGTTTCCTCCGGGTGCTCCGGTTTCCCCTACCACTAAAAATATGTCCAATAGTTCTGGCATGCGCCTCCTGTACTGGCCCCTCCCATCTCTGTGTGGAGTGAGAGACAAATGCCCAAAAATAACAAAAATTAACAATTGTAAACCGCTTTGAGACTCAGATCTGCAGTGAAAAGGCAGTATATAAATAAAGATTACTTACTTACAGAATATCTGGCAAAGAATCCACTTTGAGGCCTAAAACAGACAGTTGTGTGTCTAACGTGTGATGCCTTCTCTCTGCCTTTGTCTGCTTTCCTGATTGCCACGACTGCAGCTGGGACTCTGGGCTGAGTAATTGCCTGTCTTAGTTGTGAGAGCGCAGTACCAAGCTAAAAGTCAAGTGCTCTCTTCCTGCTGTAGACCTCATTTGGATTCCACATAGCTAGCTAGCAGGCTAACGCCAGCCCTGGACCTGTATTATTTATGGCTTGACAGATAGCTCTCACTAAAAGCATTGGAACTGGGCCAGGTGGTGATGGAGCGACAGGGAGAGACGCTCGGTGCTGGGCGGGAGAGGCCAGAATGGAAGTGGAAGATAGCACAGAAACAGCAAAGTGTCTTAGCGGCGTTGGGAAGTGGGGCACGGGTAAAGAAACGAAGAGACACGATGAGAGTTTAAAAGAAGGAGCGAATCGTGAGAGAGCGGGCTACACCGAGTTAACACAGCTACAATTCCATCATACTCTATTCATGAGCGACCGTTGGAGAGTAGGACGCGGAGACAAAGTGAGTGAAAGCATTTCAAATTTGCAGACGACGGAACCAGCTCTGGAAGAAGAAGAAGAAGAAGAGAACAGGCATCCACCCCCGCCGCGCTCAGCCTCTGCCTCCATGTGCACGTGCAGATAAGGTCGCATTAATCAAAATCTGCCACTTCCCCTTCCAAAAAAACCCAGTGTGTGCCATCAGCCCCCCTCTGTGCGGTATCTGTCACCCAAACGGAAATTTCCATATTTAATGGGGAAGCTTTATATCAGCGAAAAGACAGTGTGGGCTGAAGCCGGAGAGAATGGAGATGGTTGGATCTGTCGCCTCCGTCATTATGTCTCACTGTGTCTCTGAAGCTATCGTTAGCATGTTAGCATGGACTCTCTAATGACGGGTGCTTGGTTTGTCTCTGAAGCTATCGTTAGCATGTTAGCACGGACTCTCTAATGACGGGTGCTTGGTTTGTCTCTGAAGCCTTTGTTAGCATGTTAGCACCATGGATCTATTATAATAACTGGATAGGTTATTACAGCTTTGGAGCTGAAGAACCATGTGCTCGGGGGATTCTCGCGGTACTGCAGACTAAACCAGACTAAAGCAGACCAAATTCACGCTACACAGATATTTTCCCCATAGAACTCAATGTAAACTAAAACAGACCTCAGCTGACAGAGAACCTGACAGAGAACCTACAGCTTTCATAAAGGTTTAGATTTTGTGGGGATTTTAGTGTCCCTTGTCATCCTGAACTTTTTTTCTTCTTAAATCCTTCGGTTTTCTTTAAATCCACACTTTACTAAAAATTTTATTTTTTCAGTTTTAAGATAATAAAACTTCTTTATCTTATTAGAGAAAAAAAGTCTGAGTAGTTTTCAAGCTCACGTATTTTTTTTTCTAATTTTCAGACTTTTTTTGTGTGGATAAAATAAGTTTGTTCTGCTTAGAAAACATTTATCTAAAATAGAATAAGTAAATCATACTTTAAATATGTTTTTAAACTAAAATCAAGTTATTTTGGGCTGATATTATTTTCTTTTTTTCAGAAATCTTAAGTCATATTTCCTCGTTCTATTAACATTTATTTTAAGCAGTATTTGACTTATTATTTCCGTTCGAAGCTACAAAGGTACAGCCTTCATCATGCCTCCTCCTTTGATGCTATTTGTTTATTTTTTCTCTTTGTAATATTCTGGAGGATTTGCTTATGTGCAGATTCTGACAACTGCAGAATTAGCGGCGTGACATCACCAGTGTCAGATAAACAGGTGGTGTTTACGCCTGTTTCTGGCTTCTCTCTATTCTCTTCTTTTTTTAAGCACGTCCCTGAGGAAAGGCATCAAAGGGAATAACAGATCATGTGCAGTGAGTGTGGAGCGAGAGGGGGAGGGGGGTGGGCTTCTCTGAGCCTGGCACATCCTGACCTTTGCCCCCTGACCCTGCCCCCGGGGCAGAGCTGTTACATCACATCAGTGTCGTCAAAGCATCAAGAGGAAAGGAAACATTTTATTTGTTTCAACCGTTCTCTGTTAAAGTTCACTCCGTGGAGAGAGTGGAACCGTGTCGTGTTTATACATTTACACTACGTCCAACCAACCAATAACAAACGACCGCAGGTAAAGGCCATGACAAAGAGCCTTAATGTCGTTGCAACATGTTTATTTTAGCTCCGTTATCCTGTTGCTTTGTTTGCAGAAGAAATATGACCTGTTCATTTCCACATCTTCATCATTTACCACATTGTTGAACATGAAAGAGCAGTTCACTGAAGCAGAGAAAGTCACTGGTTCAATGGTTCAGGTGAACGAGGCAGCTCCACCTGAACTGGCAACCCGCCGCCCCTAGCTACAGCCGTACGACAGCCGGACCACAGTCGGACCGCAGTCGGACTACAGTCGGACTACAATCGGACTACAGTCGGACCACAGTCGGACCGCAGTCGGACTACAGTCGGACCACAGTCGGACTACAGCCGGACCACAGTCGGACCGCAGTCGGACTACAGTCGGACTACAGTCGGACTACAGTCGGACCGCAGTCGGACTACAGTCGGACTACAGTCGGACTACAGTCGGACCGCAGTCGGACTACAGTCAGACTACAGTCGGACCGCAGTCGGACTACAGTCGGACTACAGTCGGACTACAGTCGGACCACAGTCTGACTGTAGTCTGACTACTGCAGGACTACCACAGGACTACAGTCGGGTCAGGGTCCTATTGTCGCACCATGAGATAACGGGGGAATAGCAAAGAGAAGTTTTCATTTGTCGTCTTATAAAAAAGGCATGGCCAAATAACCAAATGTATTCCTGCGCTAAAGTAACTGTACTCCATTACTTCTCCCAGTACGTACTTTTATCCAGTACAAATATCTATGTTTATTCAAACTGACTTTAGACATTCATCTCATCAGAACAAATAAGCTCCTGTGCCCAGTGAGACAAATGCTCCTGCTCCGGGAAGGAATCCCGTCTCAAGATGGCCGCCGGCGAGCGGCGTCTGTGGCTGTGTGCGAGTGTGATTGATTGAAGTCATTAGACTGAGGGGGAGACTCCTTACCTGGATAATCCAGGACTACATTTAGCAGCAGGATGACAGATTACCACATTACTGACTTTTCCTGCTGTCCACAAACTCTCGATTTACTCGGCACAATTATGTAAATGAGTGGGAATAAAACTCATAATATCGAACCACAATAAACTGTTTCGATCTGATGAAAGAACATTCAACATTTATACTTTACCCCAAAGTTTAAAAAAGTAATGTGTTATTTTCACACAATATGTTTCTTAAAGAGACAGTATTTGTACAAATCTTCTTATTAATGAAAACAATGTTTATGTTTACGATCGTCCAATCAGAGAGCAGAATGAGGCCCTGGTTTGGGTTGCCAGTTTGTGAGATTTAGCTGGTTTTTGTCCTTCTTTGATCATTATTTTTATTATTAGAAAATTCACAAATAAAACAATAGCACCTCACAACTGTTTGAATGAACAAAGGTAAAGGACTTTCATGGTCCTGTCCTCTCATGGTCCTGTCCTTCATGGTCCTGTCCTTCATGGTCCTGTCTGCTCATGGTCCTGTCCTCTCATGGTCCTGTCCTCTCATGGTCCTGTCCTTCATGGTCCTGTCTGCTCATGGTCCTGTCCTCTCATGGTCCTGTCCTCTCATAGTCCTGTCCTTCATGGTCCTGTCCTCTCATGGTCCTGTCCTTCATGGTCCTGTCCTTCATGGTCCTGTCCTCTCATGGTCCTGTCCTCTCATGGTCCTGTCCTTCATAGTCCTGTCTGCTCATGGTCCTGTCCTCTCATGGTCCTGTCCTTCATAGTCCTTCATGGTCCTCCATGGTCCTTCATGGTCCTGCAGAGTCCTTCATGGTCCTTCATGGTCCTGCAGAGTCCTGCATGGTCCTGCAGAGTCCTTCATGGTCCTGCAGAGTCCTTCATGGTCCTTCATGGTCCTGCAGAGTCCTGCATGGTCCTGCAGAGTCCTTCATGGTCCTGCAGAGTCCTTCATGGTCCTTCATGGTCCTGCAGAGTCCTTCATGGTCCTGCAGAGTCCTTCATGGTCCTTCATGGTCCTGCAGAGTCCTGCATGGTCCTGCAGAGTCCTTCATGGTCCTGCATGGTCCTGCAGAGTCCTGCATGGTCCTGCAGAGTCCTTCATGGTTCTGCAGAGTCCTTCATGGTCCTTCATGGTCCTGCAGAGTCCTTCATGGTCCTGCAGAGTCCTTCATGGTCCTTCATGGTCCTGCAGAGTCCTGCATGGTCCTGCAGAGTCCTTCATGGTCCTGCAGAGTCCTGCATGGTCCTTCATGGTCCTGCAGAGTCCTTCATGGTCCTTCATGGTCCTTCATGGTCCTGCAGAGTCCTTCATGGTCCTTCATGGTCCTGCAGAGTCCTTCATGGTCCTTCATGGTCCTGCAGAGTCCTGCATGGTCCTGCAGAGTCCTTCATGGTCCTGCAGAGTCCTTCATGGTCCTTCATGGTCCTTCATGGTCCTGCAGAGTCCTTCATGGTCCTGCAGAGTCCTTCATGGTCCTTCATGGTCCTGCAGAGTCCTTCATGGTCCTTCATGGTCCTGCAGAGTCCTTCATGGTCCTTCATGGTCCTGCAGAGTCCTTCATGGTCCTGCAGAGTCCTGCATGGTCCTGCAGAGTCCTTCATGGTTCTGCAGAGTCCTTCATGGTCCTTCATGGTCCTGCAGAGTCCTTCATGGTCCTGCAGAGTCCTTCATGGTCCTTCATGGTCCTGCAGAGTCCTGCATGGTCCTGCAGAGTCCTTCATGGTCCTGCAGAGTCCTTCATGGTCCTTCATGGTCCTGCAGAGTCCTGCATGGTCCTGCAGAGTCCTTCATGGTCCTGCAGAGTCCTTCATGGTCCTTCATGGTCCTGCAGAGTCCTTCATGGTCCTTCATGGTCCTGCAGAGTCCTTCATGGTCCTTCATGGTCCTTCATGGTCCTGCAGAGTCCTTCATGGTCCTTCATGGTCCTGCAGAGTCCTTCATGGTCCTTCATGGTCCTTCATGGTCCTGCAGAGTCCTTCATGGTCCTTCATGGTCCTTCATGGTCCTTCATGGTCCTGCAGAGTCCTTCATGGTCCTTCATGGTCCTGCAGAGTCCTTCATGGTCCTTCATGGTCCTGCAGAGTCCTTCATGGTCCTTCATGGTCCTGCAGAGTCCTTCATGGTCCTTCATGGTCCTGCAGAGTCCTTCATGGTCCTTCATGGTCCTGCAGAGTCCTTCATGGTCCTTCATGGTCCTTCATGGTCCTGCAGAGTCCTTCATGGTCCTGCAGAGTCCTGCATGGTCCTGCAGAGTCCTTCATGGTCCTGCAGAGTCCTTCATGGTCCTTCATGGTCCTGCAGAGTCCTTCATGGTCCTTCATGGTCCTGCAGAGTCCTTCATGGTCCTTCATGGTCCTGCAGAGTCCTTCATGGTCCTTCATGGTCCTGCAGAGTCCTTCATGGTCCTTCATGGTCCTGCAGAGTCCTTCATGGTCCTTCATGGTCCTTCATGGTCCTGCAGAGTCCTTCATGGTCCTTCATGGTCCTGCAGAGTCCTTCATGGTCCTTCATGGTCCTGCAGAGTCCTTCATGGTCCTTCATGGTCCTGCAGAGTCCTTCATGGTCCTTCATGGTCCTGCAGAGTCCTTCATGGTCCTTCATGGTCCTTCATGGTCCTGCAGAGTCCTTCATGGTCCTTCATGGTCCTGCAGAGTCCTTCATGGTCCTTCATGGTCCTGCAGAGTCCTTCATGGTCCTTCATGGTCCTGCAGAGTCCTGCATGTTCTCTGGACAGCCTCCTCTCTCTCAGACCTTTGTCTTAAACATGGATCTGGATCATTTATGTTGTTGTTTTGTTGAAACGAAGCGTCTTGTTCCTGTTTCGCTTTAATCAAAGGTTCATGACGTCATTAAACAATTATTCACTGACAGTGACCAAAGTTAGCAGCGCCACTTTTTACATGAGTACATGTATACATGTACTTTACATTAGTACATTAGTACATGTATACATGTACTTTACATTAGTACATGAGTACATGTTATACATGTACTTTACATTAGTACATTAGTACATGTATACATGTACTTTACATTAGTACATGAGTACATGTATACATGTACTTTACATTAGTACATTAGTACATGTATACATGTACTTTACATTAGTACATGAGTACATGTATACATGTACTTTACATTAGTACATTAGTACATGTATACATGTACTTTACATTAGTACATTAGTACATGTATACATGTACTTTACATTAGTACATGAGTACATGTATACATGTACTTTACATTAGTACATGAGTACATGTATACATGTACTTTACATTAGTACATTAGTACATGTATACATGTACTTTACATTAGTACATGAGTACATGTATACATGTACTTTACATTAGTACATTAGTACATGTATACATGTACTTTACATTAGTACATGAGTACATGTATACATGTACTTTACATTAGTACATGAGTACATGTATACATGTACTTTACATTAGTACATTAGTACATGTATACATGTACTTTACATTAGTACATGAGTACATGTATACATGTACTTTACATTAGTACATTAGTACATGTATACATGTACTTTACATTAGTACATTAGTACATGTATACATGTACTTTACATTAGTATATGAGTAAATGTATACATGTTATTATTATAGTATCAGTTGCACAAAAACAGTGACGAGTGTGTGTCACATACACACAGTGTGTGTGCGTCACATACACACAGTGTGTGTGCGTCACATACACACAGTGTGTGTGCGTCACATACACACAGTGTGTGTGCGTCACATACACACAGTGTGTGTGCGTCACATACACACAGTGTGTGTGCGTCACATACACACAGTGTGTGTGCGTCACATACACACAGTGTGTGTGCGTCACATACACACAGTGTGTGTGCGTCACATACACACTGTGTGTGCGTCACATACACACTGTGTGTGTGCGTCACATACACACTGTGTGTGTGCGTCACATACACACTGTGTGTGCGTCACATACACACAGTGTGTGTCACAGACGACCACAGGAGCTGAGGCTGTGACGCTGCAGACGTCAGAAAACGCCCAAACTGCAGAAAGTCTATTGTTCTCTGGAGCAGAGACGACAGATCTGAAAGGATACATGCTTAACACACACATGTATACACACACACACATGTACACACACATGTATACACACACACACATGTATGTATGTATACACGCACACATATACACACACATGTACACACACAGACACAAAGACAACACACATACATACATACATACATACATACACTCACACACACACATTTATATGCACACACACTCACACACAAGAATATCTGAACTCTGAACATTGTAAAGTGTTTTGGGTGACCTTGGTCTGTAAAATGCACTGTATAAATAAACATTACTTACTTTACTTACACACACACAGACACACACAGACGCATACACAGACACACACACACACAGACGCACACACAGACACACACACACACACACACACGCAGACACACACAGACACACACACACAGACACACACACAGACACACACACGCAGACACACACAGACACACACACACAGACGCACACACACAGACACACACAGACGCACACACAGACACACACACACACAGACGCACACACAGACACACACAGACACACACAGACACACACACAGACGCACACACAGACACACACACACACAGACGCACACACAGACACACACATACACAGACACACACACAGACGCACACACAGACACACACACAGACAAAGCCATTTCAGATACACACCAGCACATGTAGTGTCTGCCTGTGTCTGTGCCCTCGCTGCTTGGCTGCGGTGAAGCCGGTGAATCCCTGGTGGATTCCTGGAGGGTATCACCATGGAGACGGCTCCGGCACATGTGGCTATAGATCTGAGCTGCAGAGGGACACAGCCAGAGGTGCTGCATCTCCTCCATCTCTCATCTGCTCACAGACAATGCTCAGATGGAAGTGGAGAAAAGGGTGAAGGAGTAAGTGTTGGAACTATATGAGGAGGTGTGAGAGAAAGATTGGATATATACGGTGATGGAAGTGATGGATAGAACGGCGGCTGAGGTGACTGTGGGTGAGAGGAGGTGAAGAAGCTGCTGACAGAGGGATACAGAGACGAGTGATGAAAAAGCAGAGCTCGTCCGTGTGCCAGGGAGACAAACAACATGAGATGCTAATGCCTGGCTAACGCTGGGCCCCTGCTGTGAGGGGCCCCTGCTGTGAGGAGCAGCTAATGTGACGGCTAATAACGGCATTCCAGCAGTCGCTCAGGTTTCACCTCAAATTAGACTAAAGCCAAAGAAAACTGGGCTGTAACACTTAGTTTGTCAGTACGTACAAGAAAATGTCCAATCTTAGATTATAATAATAAATAATATAAATTGATTCTGATCCTCCACCGCTCTGTGCCGTAGATAAAGCAGGTTTGGTTTTCCAGATAATCACCTTTTTACGTTTACAATAGTCCAGAAGGAGCAGTGGGACGCTCTGCTGTGACAGATACTGGGTCTGAGGTCGCTCTGTCGGGACAGAAGGGCTGTGAAGAGCCGCCTCTGCGCCTACACAACTACACAACCACAACTACACCAGTCACAGCTACACAGCTACACAACTACACAAGTCAGAACTACACAACTACTCAAGTCAGAATTACACAACCGCTGACACCGTGTTACATAAACGGGGGCAGAGCAGCGACTCTGGGGGTGGGCAAGTGTAGCATCAAGCTCTGGTCCATGTTGTTTTTTATTTTGATTAAATATGTTGTTTCCCGTTTAAAGTGACTCACAACATGTGTTATTTGCTGCTGATTGTGTTTATAACGTCAATATATTCACAATAATATAGTGTTTTGGCTCTTTGGTCTGTGCCTCTCCTTCTTCACTCCGATCCTCCGGTGAGCTCCGTGCCTTGGCAGCCTCTAACCTGCTGGGACCCGCTCCTGATTTATTTGGAGAGGGGCTTGGAACCGCGGGGCCGGGATGAGTGGCATTTTAATGTGCTTTTGAGATGTTTGGTCACAAGCACTATTGATCACAGTGCTGCAGAGTGCTCCCTCTGCCTGTCCCACAGACCCTCAGTCAGGCACCGAGAGGCCGGGAGAGGCGGCTGTCAGGCGGCCAATGGGTTTCCATGTGGCCTTAGATTAATGTAATGAGGCCCCTGGCTGCGAGCGAGTGCAGGGGGTCAGACCATTACGGAATCTATGGCAGGGTGAGATTGAGGCTGCCAGCTGCCTGCACCTGACAGATGTACATCCAGAGCTCGACACGCACCCAGAGGAAAGATGGATGCACAGGTACTGGTCAGAACAAGAGCGAGAGACAGAAGGATTAGGATTCAGAAAATTCACTGCTTTTACTTAAACAAAAGGAGAAATGTCAATTACAAAAGGCTAAAAACTACAAATCTCTGAGTGGTTTGATGCTGGAAACGCTTCAGGTATATTTGAAAAACCACAAACACCATTTTTTGCCACACTGTGCTTTTCATTCACTCCTGGTCTTACTTTAAGTAGTGCAGGGCTCGGAAACATCCAGAGGTAGTAAAAATAGGAGCCAAGGATATTTCACAGCCGAGTGAGCATGGCCAAAAGCATGTTTAGGTCTCAGCTTTATTTGACGACCAAAACACTCCAGTGCATTCATCATCATTCTGAGCGTGTTTCTCTCTGTTCAGAGCCGCTCTCGAGGCCGATACATGAATGAAAAACAATGTCGGCCTCTCACTTTTTAGCAGGGCCATACTTTCTGAAGTGTGTGCGTGGAATGGATTAAAAACCACTGTGATCAATAACCCAAGCCAACACACAGATTAGCAGATTATCAGATTAGAGCCGGTCCCGTGCTGCAGGAGGGAGCCAGAGAATACATTACATCCCGAGGTGTCTTTCCAAGATTCAATTAATCAGGCTCCATGTTGTCTTTCCGTACCGTGGATTCCCTGAGAACAGTTTGTGTTTTTGCTGCGCTCGGTTCTCGTCAGAACAAGGACACATTAGTCTGCGACACGACGGAGCTCTGTCCCGACAAGACTGACAATAACAGAATGTAAACGATTGGACTAAACAGGACCAAAGTCGTTTAAGATTTACTGATCTCACAACGGAGAAATGTACATGTCACAATTGGCATGAATCGAATCACCCAGGGCGCTACAAGACAGGAAGTGAGCAACAAGACAGGAAGTGAGCAAACAGGAAGTGAGCAACAAGACAGGAAGGTAGCAAACAGGAAGTGAAAAACAAGACAGGAAGTGAGCAAACAGGAAGTGAGCCAACAGGAAGTGCGCAAAAAGACAGGAAGTGAACAAACAGGAAGTGTGCAACAAGACAGGAAGTGAGCAAACAGGAAGTGAGCAACAGCAGGAAGTGCCACATAAGACTGTCCAAACAACGTAATCTGAAATCTAAAAAAGAAAAAATAACAAAAGTCCCTTGTTTTCAGAGTCCCGGGTCAAGGCTGAGTTTCAATGTTGATGGTTTGGATTCATCATTTGTCTCTACGTACCGTATTGTTCGGACTGCAGGTGCGGCTTATAGTCAGGTGCGGCTTATAGTCGGGTGAGGCTTATAGTCAGGTGCGACTTATAGTCAGGTGCGGCCTATAGTCAGGTGAGGCTTATAGTCAAGTGAGGCTTATAGTCAGGTGAGGCTTATAGTCAGGTGCGGCCTATAGTCAGGTGTGGCTTATAGTCAGGCGCCCCCAAGAGGGGGAGCTACCTAGGTGTGGCTTATAGTCAGGTGAGGCTTATAGTCAGGTGTGGGTTATAGTGCGGTGCAGCTTATAGTCAGGTGTGGCTTATAGTCAGGTGCGGCTTATAGTCCAGAAGATAAGGTACATTTTTTCTGCCAGAGATTACATCCTTCTGAATAACCCGGTCCTTGGAACAGCTGTGATGGACGATAAAAACATGAGATTATGCACGTGTGACCATAAGACTCATGACTAAACTAACATATAACATGTAACTAACATGTAACTAACATGTAACTAACATGTAACTAACACGTAACTAACATGTAACTAACATGTAACTATCTTCCCGTGTCGCTGCAGTGTGTACGGCTGCCCTGTGGCAAAGAAGAGGAAGAGTCTCGACCCCCAAAGTGTGGAGAGCGCCCCCAAGAGGAGGAGCTACCTAGATGACATGGACAACTCCACGATGGAGGAGTGCTACGACACTGATGGCACGGAGGAGATGGACGAGCGGGAGGAGGAGGAGGAGGCCACGCTAGAGGAGGGCGAGGTGGAGGAGGGATACATGGACTACAATGAGACCGAGCAGCGAGGAGAGAACGAGGAGGACGAGGTGGAGCAGGAGGACGAAGAGGAACCTGTGGAGGAGGAGGAGGAGGTGGACTATGATGATGAAGAGGAGGAAGGAGAGCTCAGTCAGGAGCACGGTGAGACTCATTCTTCTGTTTTAATGTTAGATTTTAAACTCACAATGTAGAGAATATTTACTTTAGATTTGATTTAACGTGTTGATTTAGATCAATTAATTATTGATATTTTATCGCACTAGAAATTATGATTCTAACAAAGATATAACTATGATTTCACTATGATTTCACTATGATTTCACTATGATTTCACTATGATTTCACTATGATTTCACTATGGTTTTACTATGGTTTTACTATGAGTGAACTATGTTTTAACCAGGATTTAACTAGGTTTTTCACTACATCCATCAGCACCGTGACCTAAACGTTGGGCCTGGTAGATGTTTTTTGTTTTGTTTTTAAGTCTTAGTAATCGACAACTGGATCTCAGAGATTTTACAGATGTTTTGGAAAATTGGAAGCTACTACCCTGGTCTTACCATGTGTAAACTCTGGTCCATGATCATTTCCTACATGTACGTCTGGTCTTACCATGTGTAAACTCTGGTCCATGATCATTTCCTACATGTACGTCTGGTCTTACCATGTGTAAACTCTGGTCCATGGTCATTTCCTACATGTACGTCTGGTCTTACCATGTGTAAACTCTGGTCCATGATCATTTCCTACATGTACGTCTGGTCTTACCATGTGTAAACTCTGGTCCATGGTCATTTCCTACATGTACGTCTGGTCTTACCATGTGTAAACTCTGGTCCATGATCATTTCCTACATGTACGTCTGGTCTTACCATGTGTAAACTCTGGTCCATGGTCATTTCCTACATGTACGTCTGGTCTTACCATGTGTAAACTCTGGTCCATGGTCATTTCCTACATGTACGTCTGGTCTTACCATGTGTAAACTCTGGTCCATGATCATTTCCTACATGTACGTCTGGTCTTACCATGTGTAAACTCTGGTCCATGATCATCTCCTACATGTACGTCTGGTCTTACCATGTGTAAACTCTGGTCCATGATCATCTCCTACATGTACGTCTGGTCTTACCATGTGTAAACTCTGGTCCATGATCATCTCCTACATGTACGTCTGGTCTTACCATGTGTAAACTCTGGTCCATGGTCATTTCCTACATGTACGTCTGGTCTTACCATGTGTAAACTCTGGTCCATGATCATTTCCTACATGTACATCTGGTCTTACCATGTGTAAACTCTGGTCCATGATCATTTCCTACATGTACGTCTGGTCTTACCATGTGTAAACTCTGGTCCATGATCATCTCCTACATGTACGTCTGGTCTTACCATGTGTAAACTCTGGTCCATGATCATCTCCTACATGTACGTCTGGTCTTACCATGTGTAAACTCTGGTCCATGATCATTTCCTACATGTACATCTGGTCTTACCATGTGTAAACTCTGGTCCATGATCATTTCCTACATGTACGTCTGGTCTTACCATGTGTAAACTCTGGTCCATGGTCATTTCCTACATGTACGTCTGGTCTTACCATGTGTAAACTCTGGTCCATGATCATTTCCTACATGTACGTCTGGGTCTGATCCTAGTGGCTGCAGTTTCCTCGGTTGAATCTCCTCCGACCAATCAGAGAGCGGGGGAGGCGGGTGTTGTAGGTCGTGTCGGTGACGTCAAGAGTTTGTGCTGAATTTGCTGGTTGTAGTTTGTCGGAGAATGCGATAGTAAAATAATCTGTTCTGGTTCAATCCAAATATCAAGAAACTGAAGCCGGAGCAAGAGGAATGTTTAGTAAATGTTATTGAAGCAAAAGATGTTGTGATCAGTTGAATATGTGTGAAAGTAAAGAAGAAGTTACTTGAGTACATTCTGATCATAGCTGCTGAAACCCTCTTAAAATCACAGGACTGTTCGACTGAGTTTCTTTGTTCTGCTTTTCTTGTCATTTATATATTTGCAAAGGGACTGCGCAGGAAAACTAGCTTTGTAGCTTTAATCCAACATATTCTTCTTCTATTTACATTTGTAGTTCCAAAGCCTCATGTAAAAACAGACCCTTTTTGGACAAAGACAGATTGAGTCCGGTTTATCGTCCCCTGTAGACGTCAGTGTGTGTCTGGCTATGGATAGTTCATTGATACAAACGCTTTAAATTGTGAATCTTTGTGTGACCTTGATATCTGAATAAAGAAGATTTACTTGACTGTAAATATCTCAAATGAAAGTAATGTCTAGTTATTACCCATTTCCCTGATGCATTCTGCTTTAAATGCAGTTTATCTTGTGATTACTTTATGGATGCATCTTCTATGGGATTTATTTCTATGGAATACGGCACAGACGCGACAAAATCTAACAATGCACCTTATATTCTATGTTAAAGATGTCCTGGTGCTTTCTCCTTCTCCGTGCGCTCTCTTGCTGAGGCAGTGTGAATTAGGAAGAGGCTGCCCCATATGCGCTCCCGTCTCTCCCCCATGTGCCCAATAGCATCTTTGGCAGGTTTCTCTCCAGCAGCTTCGGCTCTGCACCCCCACATCACGATTGGACCTGACAGTGCCTTCAAGTCCAATTAAGAGTGAGGCTGGGAGAGAGGAGTGTGTTAACCCGCTTTGGCGCAGAGCTCTACCCACCCAAAGTGTTGATGTGGCTTCACAGCAGCCTCTTGTTTTTCTGCAGACATGTGCAAACCGGGCCTGCTTCATTAGAGCCCACAGCCCTGGCCCAATGTGCAGGGTTTAAGCAGTGGACTGGTGCCACTGGATGTCAAATTAGTCATGATTCGCTGAAATGTATTCATGGTTTGGATGGGATTTATATAACGACGTTACTGATGGCGTAAGCGGCATTTTAACCCTTTAGGCAGGAATGTGATGCATGACCAGTGTGGCGGGTCCAGTGTGGGCGGGTCCAGTGTGGGCGGGTCCAGTGTGGCGGGTCCAGTGTGGGCGGATCCAGTGTGGCGGGTCCAGTGTGGGCGGGTCCAGTGTGGGCGGGTCCAGTGTGGGTGGGTCCAGTGTGGGCGGGTCCAGTGTGGGTGGGTCCAGTGTGGCGGGTCCAGTGTGGGCGGGTCCAGTGTGGGCGGGTCCAGTGTGGGTGGGTCCAGTGTGGGCGGGTCCAGTGTGGGTGGGTCCAGTGTGGCGGGTCCAGTGTGGGCGGGTCCAGTGTGGGCGGGTCCAGTGTGGGTGGGTCCAGTGTGGCGGGTCCAGTGTGGGCGGGTCCAGTGTGGCGGGTCCAGTGTGGGCGGGTCCAGTGTGGCGGGTCCAGTGTGCGCGGGTCCAGTGTGGGCGGGTCCAGTGTGGGTGGGTCCAGTGTGGGCGGGTCCAGTGTGGGTGGGTCCAGTGTGGCGGGTCCAGTGTGGGCGGGTCCAGTGTGGCGGGTCCAGTGTGGGCGGGTCCAGTGTGGGTGGGTCCAGTGTGGCGGGTCCAGTGTGGCGGGTCCAGTGTGGGCAGGTCCAGTGTGGCGGGTCCAGTGTGGCGGGTCCAGTGTGGGCGGGTCCAGTGTGGGTGGGTCCAGTGTGGGCGGGTCCAGTGTGGGCAGGTCCAGTGTGGCGGGTCCAGTGTGGGCGGGTCCAGTGTGGCGGGTCCAGTGTGGCGGGTCCAGTGTGGGCGGGTCCAGTGTGGGCAGGTCCAGTGTGGCGGGTCCAGTGTGGCGGGTCCAGTGTGGGCGGGTCCAGTGTGGGCAGGTCCAGTGTGGCGGGTCCAGTGTGGCGGGTCCAGTGTGGGCGGGTCCAGTGTGGGCGGGTCCAGTGTGGGCGGGTCCAGTGTGGGTGGGTCCAGTGTGGGCGGGTCCAGTGTGGGTGGGTCCAGTGTGGCGGGTCCAGTGTGGGCGGGTCCAGTGTGGCGGGTCCAGTGTGGGCGGGTCCAGTGTGGGTGGGTCCAGTGTGGGCGGGTCCAGTGTGGGTGGGTCCAGTGTGGCGGGTCCAGTGTGGCGGGTCCAGTGTGGGCGGGTCCAGTGTGGCGGGTCCAGTGTGGCGGGTCCAGTGTGGGCGGGTCCAGTGTGGGCGGGTCCAGTGTGGCGGGTCCAGTGTGGCGGGTCCAGTGTGGCGGGTCCAGTGTGGCGGGTCCAGTGTGGGCGGGTCCAGTGTGGCGGGTCCAGTGTGGGCGGGTCCAGTGTGGGCGGGTCCAGTGTGGGCGGGTCCAGTGTGGGCGGGTCCAGTGTGGGGGGTCCAGTGTGGGGGTCCAGTGTGGGCGGGTCCAGTGTGGGCGGGTCCAGTGTGGGCGGGTCCAGTGTGGGGGTCCAGTGTGGGGGTCCAGTGTGGCGGGTCCAGTGTGGGCGGGTCCAGTGTGGCGGGTCCAGTGTGGCGGGTCCAGTGTGGCGGTCCAGTGTGGCGGGTCCAGTGTGGCGGGTCCAGTGTGGCGAGGTCCAGTGTGGCGGGTCCAGTGTGGGCGGGTCCAGTGTGGCGGTCCAGTGGGCGGGTCCAGTGTGGCGGGTCCAGTGTGGCGGGTCGTGTGGGTCCAGTGTGGCGGGTCCAGTGTGTGGCGGGTCCAGTGTGGGGGCGGCCAGTGTGGGCGGGTCCAGTGTGGGCGGGTCCAGTGTGGCGGGTCCAGTGTGGCGGGTCCAGTGTGGCGGGTCCAGTGTGGGCGGGTCCAGTGTGGGTGGGTCCAGTGTGGCGGGTCCAGTGTGGGTGGGTCCAGTGTGGCGGGTCCAGTGTGGGCGGGTCCAGTGTGGGTGGGTCCAGTGTGGGCAGGTCCAGTGTGGTGGGTTCAGTGTGGCGGGTCCAGTGTGGGCGGGTCCAGTGTGGGTGGGTCCAGTGTGGGCGGGTCCAGTGTGGGCAGGTCCAGTGTGGCGGGTCCAGTGTGGGCGGGTCCAGTGTGGCGGGTCCAGTGTGGCGGGTCCAGTGTGGGCGGGTCCAGTGTGGGCAGGTCCAGTGTGGCGGGTCCAGTGTGGCGGGTCCAGTGTGGGCGGGTCCAGTGTGGGCGGGCGCAGTGTGGCGGGTCCAGTGTGGGCAGGTCCAGTGTGGCGGGTCCAGTGTGGGCGGGTCCAGTGTGGGCGGGTCCAGTGTGGGCAGGTCCAGTGTGGCGGGTCCAGTGTGGGCGGGTCCAGTGTGGGCGGGTCCAGTGTGGCGGGTCCAGTGTGGCGGGTCCAGTGTGGGCGGGTCCAGTGTGGGCGGGTCCAGTGTGGGCAGGTTCAGTGTGGCGGGTCCAGTGTGGCGGGTCCAGTGTGGCGGGTCCAGTGTGGCGGGTCCAGTGTGGGCGGGTCCAGTGTGGTCGGGTGCAGTGTGGGCGGGTCCAGTGTGGGTGGGTCCAGTGTGGCGGGTCCAGTGTGGGCGGGTCCAGTGTGGCGGGTCCAGTGTGGGCGGGTCCAGTGTGGGTGGGTCCAGTGTGGCGGGTCCAGTGTGGCGGGTCCAGTGTGGGCAGGTGCAGTGTGGCGGGTCCAGTGTGGCGGGTCCAGTGTGGGCGGGTCCAGTGTGGGCGGGTCCAGTGTGGCGGGTCCAGTGTGAGCGGGTCCAGTGTGGGTGGGTCCAGTGTGGCGGGTCCAGTGTGGGCGGGTCCAGTGTGGCGGGTCCAGTGTGGGCGGGTCCAGTGTGGGTGGGTCCAGTGTGGCGGGTCCAGTGTGGCGGGTCCAGTGTGGCGGGTCCAGTGTGGGCGGGTCCAGTGTGGGTGGGTCCAGTGTGGCGGGTCCAGTGTGGGTGGGTCCAGTGTGGCGGGTCCAGTGTGGGCGGGTCCAGTGTGGGCGGGTCCAGTGTGGGCAGGTCCAGTGTGGTGGGTTCAGTGTGGCGGTCCAGTGTGGGCGGGTCCAGTGTGGGTGGGTCCAGTGTGGGCGGGTCCAGTGTGGGCAGGTCCAGTGTGGCGGGTCCAGTGTGGGCGGGCGGGTCCAGTGTGGCGGGTCCAGTGTGGCGGGTCCAGTGTGGGCGGGTCCAGTGTGGGCAGGTCCAGTGTGGCGGGTCCAGTGTGGCGGGTCCAGTGTGGGCGGGTCCAGTGTGGGCGGGCGCAGTGTGGCGGGTCCAGTGTGGGCAGGTCCAGTGTGGCGGGTCCAGTGTGGGCGGGTCCAGTGTGGGCGGGTCCAGTGTGGCGGGTCCAGTGTGGCGGGTCCAGTGTGGGCGGGTCCAGTGTGGGCGGGTCCAGTGTGGGCAGGTTCAGTGTGGGCGGGTCCAGTGTGGCGGGTCCAGTGTGGGCGGGTCCAGTGTGGGCGGGTGCAGTGTGGGCGGGGGCAGTGTGGGCGGGTCCAGTGTGGGGGTCCAGTGTGGCGGGTCCAGTGTGGGCGGGTCCAGTGTGGGCGGGTCCAGTGTGGGCGGGTCCAGTGTGGGCGGGTCCAGTGTGGGCGGGTCCAGTGTGGCGGGTCCAGTGTGGCAGGTCCAGTGTGGCGGGTCCAGTGTGGCGGGTCCAGTGTGGGCAGGTCCAGTGTGGCGGGTCCAGTGTGGCGGGTCCAGTGTGGCGGGTCCAGTGTGGCGGGTCCAGTGTGGGCGGGTCCAGTGTGGGCGGGTCCAGTGTGGGCAGGTTCAGTGTGGCGGGTCCAGTGTGGGCGGGTCCAGTGTGGGTGGGTCCAGTGTGGCGGGTCCAGTGTGGCGGGTCCAGTGTGGGCAGGTCCAGTGTGGCGGGTCCAGTGTGGCGGGTCCAGTGTGGGCGGGTCCAGTGTGGGCGGGTCCAGTGTGGCGGGTCCAGTGTGGGCGGGTCCAGTGTGGCGGGTCCAGTGTGGTGGGCGGGTCCAGTGTGGGCGGGTCCAGTGTGGGTGGGTCCAGTGTGGCGGGTCCAGTGTGGCGGGTCCAGTGTGGGCAGGTCCAGTGTGGGCAGGTCCAGTGTGGGCAGGTCCAGTGTGGCGGGTCCAGTGTGGCGGGTCCAGTGTGGCGGGTCCAGTGTGGCGGGTCCAGTGTGGGCGGGTCCAGTGTGGGCGGGTCCAGTGTGGGCAGGTTCAGTGTGGCGGGTCCAGTGTGGGCGGGTCCAGTGTGGGTGGGTCCAGTGTGGCGGGTCCGTGTGGGTCCAGTGTGGCGGGTCCAGTGTGGGCAGGTCCAGTGTGGCGGGTCCAGTGTGGCGGGTCCAGTGTGGGCGGGTCCAGTGTGGGCGGGTCCAGTGTGGCGGGTCCAGTGTGGGCGGGTCCAGTGTGGCGGGTCCAGTGTGGGCGGGTCCAGTGTGGGCGGGTCCAGTGTGGGTGGGTCCAGTGTGGCGGGTCCAGTGTGGCGGGTCCAGTGTGGGCAGGTCCAGTGTGGGCAGGTCCAGTGTGGGCGGGTCCAGTGTGGGCGGGTCCAGTGTGGCGGGTCCAGTGTGGGCGGGTCCAGTGTGGGCGGGTCCAGTGTGGGCGGGTCCAGTGTGGCGGGTCCAGTGGGGGCAGTTGGGCGGGTCCAGTGTGGGCGGGTCCAGTGTGGGCGGGTCCAGTGTGGCGGGTCCAGTGTGGCGGGTCCAGTGTGGGCGGGTCCAGTGTGGGCAGGTCCAGTGTGGCGGGTCCAGTGTGGGCGGGTCCAGTGTGGGCGGGTCCAGTGTGGGCGGGTCCAGTGTGGGCAGGTCCAGTGTGGGCGGGTCCAGTGTGGGCGGGTCCAGTGTGGGCAGGTCCAGTGGGGGCGGGTCCAGTGTGGGCGGGTCCAGTGTGGGCGGGTCCAGTGTGGGCGGGTCCAGTGTGGGCGGGTCCAGTGTGGGCGGGTCCAGTGTGGGCGGGTCCAGTAAAAAGAAAGATAAAAATATAAAATCCCTCAGTTGTAGCACAGCTAAACAGAACTGTCTTTAACCTGGTTTTAAACATTGTCATTGAGGAGGCCTGTCTCACATCTTCAGGAAGACTGTTCCCGATTTTAGCAGCATGAATCTACGTTAGCCTGAATCTATATTAGCATGAATCTATATAAACCTGATCTATATTAGCATGAATCTTCGTTAGCATTTATATTAACATCTATATTAGCATCTACAGTATATTAGCATGAATCTATATTAGCATCTATAATAGCATCTATATTAGCATGAATCTAAATTAGCATGAATCTAAATTAGCATCTATATTAGCATCTATATTAGCATAAATCTATATTAGCCTCGATATTAGCATTTATACTAGCATCTATATTAGCATCTATACTAGCATCTATATTAGCATCTATATTAGCATCTATATTAGCCTCAATATTAGCATCTATAATAGCATCTATATTAGCCTCGATATTAGCATCTATAATAGCATCTATAATAGCATCTATATTAGCATCTATATTAGCCTCGATATTAGCATCTATAATAGCATCTATAATAGCATCTATATTAGCCTCGATATTAGCATCTATATTAGCATCTATATTAGCATCTATATCAGCATCTATATTAGCATCTATATTAGCATCTATATTAGCATCTATATTAGCATCTATATTAGCCTCGATATTAGCATCTATAATAGCATCTATATTAGCCTCAATATTAGCATCTATATTAGTATCTATATTAGCATCTATATCAGCATCTATATTAGCATCTATATTAGCATCTATATCAGCCTCGATATTAGCATCTATAATAGCATCTATATTAGCATCTATATTAGCCTCGATATTAGCATCTATAATAGCATCTATATTAGCCTCGATATTAGCATCTATAATAGCATCTATATTAGCATCTATATTAGCCTCGATATTAGCATCTATAATAGCATCTATAATAGCATCTATATTAGCATCTATATTAGCATCTATATCAGCATCTATATTAGCATCTATATTAGCCTCAATATTAGCATCTATATTAGCATCTATATTAGCATCTATAATAGCATCTATATTAGCATCTATATTAGCATCTACAGTATATTAGCTATAATATAAGTATTGTCACACACTGATAGCTCTTTTAGCCTGCAGTACAATCAAGCGTCTAATCACCGTCATCTTTCCTTCAATTATTTTGGAATATTGTTGTAAATATCTTTCAAACTTTCCGGCATCACTGTCATCTTTTCTTTCTCCGACCCGAGATAGCGAGAGTAAATCTGGACTGGGAAGATTCCAATCTGGTAAATGTAATAGAGGTGACATCCTGCAGCGGCTGTGTTTCTCTGAGGCATGCACAGCTGTAGCTAATCCAAAGCTGTCTCTCTGTTCCCGCCTTTAATCTGTTTCGCTTCCACATCCCTTTTGTGTACCGTGATTGCTCTTCAAATTGCTTTCCTGTGCCATGTTTCATACCATCAGAAATTAAACCCCAGGTGCTTCTGTAAATATCGCCCGGCTGTGTCGGACTATGTGTCGGACTATGTGTCTTGTTATTCGTGACTGGTCCTGTTCCTGGTTTGTTTTCATTGTGTGGTGGCATTAGATGTGTAAATATTCTCTATGTTTGCCGTCGTTAGGATTTTTAACTAATTTGCGAGTGGTCATTGGTCCAGGCCAGTTGGGGGCGACAGTGGCTCAGTTGTAGAGCATTGGCCTTTGAGCCTGAAGGTTGTCGGTTCGAGCCCACCACAAGACTGTCTCCATTGCTGTCGTTGTGTTCTTGGGCAAGACACTTAACCTCTGGGAACACCAGGTGCCACAGTGTGGTTGTGTCCTTAGGCAAGACACTTCCCCCACATTAGAATCAATCAATCAATCAACTTTATTTGTATGGCGCCTTTCCAACACAAGGCCACTCAAAGCGCCTCACAACCCACATAGTATCACACAAATCAGAGACATCAATAAATACATTAAAAACAGAATAAAATCACAAATAATGGAAAAAAAAAAAAAAAAAAAAAAACTTAAAATATTAAAAGCACACACGGGATTAAAATAATAAATAACCACAATGCATTAAAAAAAAAAAAGAGTATGTATCAATAGAATCCTTCAGCCGTATGCACAGCTAAAAAGAACAGTTTTTAGCCCCGATTTAAAAATTGCCAGAGTAGATGCTAGCCTCACATCTTCAGGAAGATTGTTCCAGATTTTAGCTCCATAAATCTCAAACGCTGCCTCCCCATGTTTAGTTCTGACTCTTGGAACCAGTAAGAGGCTACCTCCTGTGCTCCTCAGAGTCCGGGTCGGTTCATATGGGACTAACAAGTCGCTTAAGTACCCTGGTGCGAGGCCATGGAGAGACTTGTACACAAGCAGTGCTGCTTTGAAGTCTATTCTCTGAGCCACAGGAAGCCAGTGCAGAGACCTGAGAACTGGACTAATGTGGTCATATTTCCTGGTCCTGGTCAGGACTCGAGCTGCAGCATTTTGGACATACTGCAGTTGTTTTACAGCCTGTTTGGAGAGACCTGTGAGCAGGCCATTGCAGTAGTCTAACCTACTGGAGACAAATGCATGGATGAGAATCTCCAGATCTGATTTAGACACTATGTTTCTAATTTTGGCAATGTTTTTCAGATGGTAAAATGCTGCTGATGTTACTGATTTGATATGACTGTTAAAATTTAAGTCTGAGTCCATTATAACTCCTAGGTTTCTGACCTTGCCTACAGGTTCCAGGGAGAGAGACTGGAGGTGACGAATAACGCTCTCTCTTTGTTTCTGAGGACAATGGTTCCGTTAGGGGACTTGGTTTTCCTCATGACCCACCCACAATATCGCCAGTTCGCCTTATTGTCGGCCTAGCCGCGGCTAGTTGTAGGTAAACAAAGCGCTCAAATCACTTTGTTGCACTTAACACAGGCCGACTACTTGCGCCATGTTTATGGGGGTGCAGTAACCGAGCAGATTGTGGGGCTTATTCCGGAAGGTTAATACGAGCCAGGGGAGCGACTCTCGACGGAGAAAAAGAACCCTTTAGTTGGCGAGGATCAACCCGGAGGGATTCAACCCTAACCCCTAAAAAACGGCACTATCAGGTCTGTTTGGGACCATTTCATAACAGTAAGAGCTACGTCTGGCATGTCTGGTTTTATATTCAGAAGCTGCGATTGCGGTGATACCATGTTTATATGGGCTCAAGCGATCACTGTAAATGTAATGAGAGGGGGAGGAGGTGGAGGGCGGGAGGAAGGGTGGTTCTAGACAGAGTGATTTACGGCCTGTGATATCAACTGCTTTGTTCAAAACTATTTTATTGATGAAAGAAATATTGCATCATATAATCATGATCTTTTTTAATTGTAAAATTGTGAAACGTGAAAAGTAAGCCCATTTGATGAAGTACACTGGTTTCGCCGCATTTCATTTGGATCCCAATCCTCCGATCACTCTCAATTTCTCCAAGGATCTTGCCTCACAGATTACTCCAGTGTCTCAATATACTTCACACGGTCAGTGTCGGCCGAATTTGTGGCTTTAGATGACATGGGGACAAATGGAATCAGTGACAAATTATCCATGACAAATGATCCGGGCAATATAAAGCCAGACACACATGTAGGGTGAGCGAAAAAGGTGAGCGCCAATCGGGCGTGAATAGCAGACCCTTTCCGTAAAACATGCCCTCCCTAGCTCCTGAGACTCAAAGTAACTACGGGTTGCAATGAAAGGTAACATTCACCCAGAACCGCCGCATGATAGACCAGAGGGCAATAAAACAACAGAGCGACATCTGTGTGCCCTTCTGCGGACAGAGATCAGGAATTCATTCATCAGCATCGCTCCATGGACATTTCCACCAACCTGAGACTCCCCACGGGCACGCTGGCGCCCCCAGTGGGACACTGAACACCATCCACGGCCCGGGGACATTCAGATAGACCAGCCGGACTCAGTGTTATTCCGATAGTCGTTGTACCGCGTCCTACATGTGTGTATCAGTGGCAATAATGAAATGTGGTGTGGGTTTGTACATGGGTTATGATCGTCTGTAATTAATCCTGTGTGTTCCCATATAACCCATCTGTTGTGAGGAGGTTGTCCAAGGACGACGCACTCAAAATATGACACGTCACGGACGCGCCACTTTGGACACAACCAAAACCAGTCTGCCAAACCGAGAGACTGCCTCTTTGTTTTTCCGAATTCACCATAACAACCATCCCGTTGGTACCGTGTCCCTACCGGCCTACGCCGCCCACCATCTCGGCCTGTTACTCCACGAGGACAGCAATCACTTCGCTGTCGGAGAGAGGACCTTCCATCGCCAGCCATCTTTCGGGCTCTGGAACACCCACCGCAACGCCTATTCTAGACGTGTCGTGTGTGGAACCCACGCCTGGACCCGATCTTGCGGCTCCTCCTGCTCCCTGTTCGAACAAGACCCCGTGGTACGAGGACATCGCTCCATCCTATTCTTCTTTCTCATCCTCCCATCTCCATCTCCATCTCATCTTCATCAAACATTCCTCTACGCTCCTCAAAAGTACGACTTTCTTTTGTTAGTGCGTGTTTCAAATGAGATGTGTTACAACTCCAATGCTTAAATGTGACAGAAAAATCCCTTTCTGTATATTTTTACCATTCATTTTTGTTAATCAATAAACCATGTTAACACTGTAATTCCATTCCACCCGAGCGTCGTGTTTATAAAAGACAGGGATATCACTGGGCAGATTTTACGCTTTCACTACCTTATTTAGATTTTAAAGACTGATTGGAGGGCAATTGTTGGATCTGTGCAGTGTTTCTCACATGTTGGTGCCAATACTTAAAAAACAGATCTCTCTCGTGGGAGCACGGCAGGCCTCCAGCTACGAGACAGCCGTACAACACTATTCTTCCTTAATACATATTATACCACATAAATATAAGTAGTTACCCTACACACAAACATGGCGTTCGCGCAAGGCATCATGGGTTAATACGCTCGTGATGGAAAAACCATCTATTTTATTTCTTATTGAACCTCGATCATCCATCATGCATTATGACCATTTCTTTGTCATTCCAGTCTTAAGGTAAAAAAGGACTTATATTCGATTGTTCGGTAACACATTACATTACGGGCCGGTAAGTCCATGGTACTTACAGTGGTACTTCTAGGTACTTACAGTGGTACTTCTAGGTACTTACTAGTGGTACTTACGGTGGTACTGTACGGTGGTGAACTTACGGTGGTTACTTACGGTGGTACTTACGGTGGTACTTACGGTGGTACTTACGGTGTACTTACAGTGGTACTTACAGTGGTTCTTTACGTGGTACTTTAGGTACTTACAGTGGTACTTCTAGGTACTTACGGTGGTACTTACGGTGGTACTTACGGTGGTACGTACGGTGGTACTTACGGTGGTACTTACGGTTGGGTACTTACAGTGGTACTTAACCAGTTAGGTACTTTACGGTTGGTACTTACGGTGGTACTTACTGGTGGTACTTACGGTGGACTTACGGTGGTACTTACGGTGGTTACTTACGGTGGTACTTACGGTGGTACTTACGGTGGTACTTTAAGGTGGTAACTTACGGTGTACTTACGGTTGGTACTTACGGTGGTACTTACAGTGGTACTTACAGTGGTATTAGTGCAGTGGTACTTGACAGTGGTACTTTAGGTTACTTTAGGTACTTACAGTGGTACTTTCTTAGTGGTCCTTCTAGGTACTTATAGGTGGTACTTACAGTGGTACTTCTAGGTACTTACGTGGTACTTAGAGGTACTTATTGTGGTACTTACCGTGGTACTTCTAGATACTTATTGTGATAATTCTAGGATATCAGCTGTAACTTTAGTTAATTCAAGGCACACTACAGTATTATTCCTATGTAGTAAATGTGGTCTTCTACATTACATACATCTGAGGTCATATGTAGGATTGTTTGGACTTTAAAAACATAAAACTACATTATGTAATAAACAAAAGTCTTTATTAATATGGAATAAGTAGCAGAAAGGACAGTATAAATACATTTATGCATATTTCAAAACATGTTTCAAGGACAGGGAAAACACTGCAAGAACTAGGTACCCAACCCAGTAACAAGAATTACACATTACCAGGTACTTACCAAGCCAAGTACCAGGTACTTACCAGCAAGTACCAGGTACTTACCAGCAAGTACCAGGTAATTAACAGCAAGAACAGGTACTTAACAGCAAGTACCAGGTACTTACCCTAGGACTGGCCCATAATAAGACAAAGGACTTTAACATAGAGTACCATGTGATAACACCGTAATTTATACAGTAGTACCAGGTACTTACCATTAGGGATGGCCATAATAAGGACAACGGACTTTTAAATAAGTACCAGTGTGATAACACCGTAAATTATATATTGTAAGTACCAGGTCTTACATAGGAACTGGCCATAATCAGACAAAGGACTTACCCC